CCAAAGGCCCGGTGAATGATGTCATATGACTTAGCAGGAGAGATTTCTCACCCGGAGCAAATGCCATTTTCCCAGTTTTCCCTGAACTCATTCTCTCACCAGGCTTACACTGGGACACGTAGTTACCATTAGTTGAGGAGCTGACACTTCACAGACATTAGATGTCTGCTTCGTGCACATTACGTTTATCCTGACAAAACTGTTAGTAGACATAATCTTTATTTTCTGAGTCAAGTTCAAAATCGATTTTCCTACTTGACTTGTCTATAGTCGCCTAGAAGGAAGGTTTTGTGTTAAAGGCATGTATTAATTGCTCTATGATAGGGGTGTCGAACTCAATCAGAGAAGGGGCCAAAATCTAAAATCCAGCCTAAATCGCAGGCCGAATGGTTTACTGAACAGTCATAAACTGTCATTGTGATGGAAACGCAGCAGAGTGCAGTGATGACAGCGCGGTGCGGGCCACATTGCAAGGCCTGGCGGAACGGATTTGGCCCGCGGGCCTTGTGTTTGACACATGTGCTCTATGATGTACAGTCATTTCTGTCCTGGAGAGAGTCATTAATACGTAAAATTACTTACACACATAGAGTGTATATACTTGGATGTTGGAGTAGTGAAAGCATGGCCAACTAGGAATCATAAAGGTTCAAGGTGCTTCTACCACACTCATTATCCAGGGCATTTTATGAAGGTTGGCTTAATTTTTTATCAGGTAAATAGGGATTATAATACCTATTTACATAAAAAGGGGCTGATTATGCAGCTTTCTCAAAAAAAAAAAGAGGGCCTTGGCCCATTTTAGAGCCCTATGTTAGATAAAAAGCTTGCGTACTGTTTCTCAAAGAGTGTGGAAGGACCCTGCACATCAAAGCCACCTGAGGTGCTAACAGGAGGAGATGGGAGAAGCCGCCTGGGAATCCACATTAACAAGCTCCAAATGATTCTACTGGACAGAAACGTTTTATAAATGCCACGTTACAGCAATGCTTCTCAAACTTTAATGCACTAGTACCACGGTCAGCAAACTGCAGCTCATGAGCCACATGCGGCTCTCTGGCTCCTTGACTATGGCTCTTCCACAAAATACCATGGCCTGGGCGAGTCTATTTTGAAGAAGTGGCGTTAGAAGAAGTTTAAGTTGAAAAAATTTTTGCTCTCAAAAGAAATTTCAATCGTTGTACTGTTGATATTTGGCTCTGTTGACTAAAGAGTTTGCCAACCACTGCACTAGTACATGTGACTCATTCTGGGGATCTTGTTAAAATGAAGATTCAAATTCAGTGAGCCTGGTGGGCAAATTGAGATTCTGCACCTCCAGCAAGCTTCAAGGGGAAGCCAGTGTTGCTGGTCTATGAATCACATCTGAGAAGCAGGGGTTTGAAAGATCTATCTGCACTGGAATAAATTAGTATTGCTTTGTTTCAGATTGTACTCCCAACTTCAGAAGTATTCCAGAAAGCCCAAACTCTGTGTATCAGTACAAAAATCACCTGTACTACTGACAACCACACTGAACAGCTTCCCTCTTGCCAAGGGAAAAGCAGTAGGATCCTTTTCAGATACAGATAGCACATGTTTCATATGAGAAAAAAACAATTCATTGCCACTTTTTGAGTCCTATTTATTGTGCAAAGCATCTACCTAATAAAAGAGCAGCATGCTAATTGTACCTATGCAACGCCCACCAGCCAATCAGGAGCATGCAAATTAACCCAACAAAGATGGCGGGTTAATTTGCATACACAGGCACCTAGTGGCCAGAGGGCGGGATGCTTGGTTGTCACCATGGCGACAACTGCAGGCATTCAGCACCATCCCAGCTGCTCCTGGCCCCTGGGTAGCATGTGAAGGCAGAAAGGCTGCTCTGGCCAGAGTGAAGATGGTGCCAGCAGCCAGGGGAATGAATCTTGCACGAATCTTCATTCATGCTTCCGGCCACTAGTTTTCTATAAATGTGAAAAATTAACAAACAGAAACCTCATTTAGGGAACCCACACAGATGTCATTCAACAATACTACTGACCCCAACAGGAGACATAACTTCTGACAGGAAGTGATACTATTTTACTACCTCAGCAGGAGAAAGAAGAGTATTTCTCATCCAATAGCAGTTCAGCCAATGGGAAACTGCCATAACTCAATCAATTAAAAGTCACTATCCTTCAAACTTTCAATTTCCTCCAATGGACTCTTCATTTACAACCGTTCCTCCCAAGTCTATAAAAGAGCATTCCTCCCCTTTGTTCCTCTGGACTTAGGAGTGGTTTGCCATTAGACCTCATGCCCTGAACTGCAATTCTTTGTTGTTCCTGAATAAACCCATTTTCTAGAGAAATACCTGGCTATTGGTTAAAGGCCAACATATATTATCTCTACTCCCCACCACAATACCACAAGGTGGATATTCTTTGCTCTATAGACAGGGAAGTGATGTAAAGAGCTTAAGTAACTTGCTCAAGGTCACGTGGCTCGTTATTTTTACAGTTGGGGTACCAATCCTGCTCCATTAGGATCCAAAGCCCTGGTGTGCCCTCTGCACATCCTCCATGATGCTAGATATGATTGTGGTATGAAATGTGACAGCTTGGGGGTGGGAGAAATTGGGGAGGAAAGTTTTCCCTGTAGCAGTCTGCATTTAAAGCTCTGTTGAGGCAGAATCTAGACAGGAGTGGGGATGGGAGTATGGATGGGAATAAGGCTAATTGATAACCTCTGTTATTTAATGAACAAAAACCTGCAGACAGCAAACCTGTCCGTGGTTCCCATAAATCTGACAATGCAGGTGGAGTAAAAAGTGCACCAGTGACCAGTGCACCGATCTAAATGTTGCCACCTCCCTTCAGGCTTCTAGCTGAGAAGCTCAACTGGTAAAGAGCAAAAATTCTCTCTGATCCACCTGCATCCTCTCCTATATGAGGTTTCTGTAACCTTAAAGTTCCTGTCAACACAGGTTGTCACTGCCATGTCATTGCACAGTGGCCACACCTCCCTGCTTCTGATAAAACTGCCTCTACATGGGGGAAAAAATGCTCTGTTTAGTCAGAAAGTTTTCTTTCGGATAACAACACGTTCTGTATTTTTCACACAGTTGACGTGCAGAGAGAAATGCTCAGGGAAACATAAAGATGCTGAAAATTGTCATCTTCGAAAGATCTTTTAACTTTACTATAAATAATACAAATATTTATCAATGCAATGCAAAAAAGAAAGAGAGATACATTTAGAAAGCCACATCTCTTGCAATTATATAGATGTGATGGTCTAAAAACCAGTGGCATTTGAACTATTAAGGATTCTACACTGAGTTTGCCTCTATGTTATATACTCTACACGATGTTTCAAAAATAAAAACTGTAACCTAAGGAGAAACTGGTTTAAAAGTCTGATTAGAATGTGAGTGTATTTTCAAATCAAAGGTAAGAAATCGAGTCTGGAACATTAATTTCCAACCGATAAAGCATTTCCTATTTCACTTCCCAACCCCCGGAACAGACCAGATCTCAGATCACCTAAAACTAAAAGTCAACAGAAACCAATTTGAGATTTTTTTTCTGACAGCCTTGACTGAAATGTTTGCAATGAGTCATAATACTGTATATAGGGCCTTCATGGCTAATGCCCTCCTGTGTGCCTTGCTTCCTGCACCAACACGGTTCTCAAACCAGCTTCGGCTCGGCTAGGTTGGGTTTTCCAGGCCTTGATCATTTCTGTAAAGTTACCAGATCTCAGTGCCTAAGGCTGCCACCCAGCAGCGCCTTTCTCATAACTGGTGTCTTAAATGCTATAATATCTACACAGCCTGGTTCTCTTTCTAAACCAGGACTCTCTCCCCCCAGCCTGGCACTGAATACCTGTCACCTGCCAAAGGGCACAGCCCTTTGAAGACCCCAAAGAAACGCTGAGGGGCCTAGAGGGAGCCCTCCCAGTGAAAAGTGGGAACGATTCACTGGGAGTCGGTCGTTCTGGGTTGAGGCCCAGAATAAACAGGATACGTTCGCTTCTAGAGGAAGCAGGAGCTGCCATAGCCCCGGGTCAGGAAAGGAGGAGTCAGCAGCACCCAAAGGAAACGGACGCGCCAGGGTTGCAAGGGATCTGCCTTGCTTAGGGTCTCTCTGGTGCCAGTGAGATCCGAGGCTGGGGACCACCTCGTTGGCAGGGCACCGAGCTCAGACCTCCCGGCACCAGTGGCCAGGAAGCGGTACCCAGCTGCTCCCTGCCACCTCCGCCAAAGATGGGTCCTGGGTTGAAGAGGGGGGAAAAAGGCACACGCCAGGCTGGTGAAGTGTCACCAAGTCAGCCCCGGAGGAGAGGACCTGGGGATCCCGGGGCTCGGCGGCTGGGGGGCAGGCGAGGCTCGGAGCCGGTGGGGTGCCCCCTGCGCTGGGGCGGGAGCCCGCAGCGCTCCCCTCGCTCCCCGGGGGCTGACGCGCGCTCCCCGGGCGCGCACCCGCCGGACCTGCCCAGGCCCCGGGGAGCCGGCGGGGGAGGGGAAAGGGCTCCGGCGGTCCCCGCAGGGGGATCCGCGGCGGCGGAAGGCGACTCGCCAGCCCCCCGCCGCCCACGCAGGCAGCGCTGGCAGCCCCGGGGGGCGCCCCCACCGCCCCGGCGGCCGGCCATCCCCGCCGCAGCCAGCAGCCCGCCCGGCGCGCCCCCGCCCCGGCCCCGGAGGGCAGGTACCTCGGTGCCCCGGCCCCCGGGAGCCTCCGGGCCGAAAGCCGAGCGTCCCTCCGGCTCCCTCATCCGACGTCGGCGTCAGCGGCGGGCAGAAGGGGCGGGGAGCGCGGGAGCGGCCCTTCCTGCGGCGGCGGCCGCCGGCCCGGATGGCACCGCGGAGCCCGGCGCCGCAGCGCAGATCGGCGCAGCGCCGCGGCCTGGGGAGCGCGCGCCGGGATGGGGCCCAGCCGCCGCCCCCTCGCCATCGCTCCCCTGCGGAGAGGCCCGAGGGGGGGGGGGCTGGCCCTCCCATCGGGACCCCGGGATCTGGGTGCAGGAGGGGGCCCTGGCCTCACCTCGTTTGGGGCGGGTCCGGGATCTGGGGAGTGAGCCTCCCTCTCTCTAGTCCCCGGGGTGTAACCTCGACCACCATCTCCGGGGGTACCTATCCCCCGCTGGTTTCCGCGGCCCGGGGTGACCCCGCCCCTGCCCGCCCGCAGGTGTTCCACGTGTCCACAGCGCGTGCGTCACAATGACCTGGGCGACAGGTGGGAGCCTGGGCGAAGGGTTCCCTCTGTGTCCAGGGCAGGGCGTGCTGCTTGCTTCCACTGTAGGTGTCTGTGGCTCTAGGGGACAGGAGACTTCATGACTTCCAATGCCACGACACAGGACAGAGGCCTGTACCCGTGAGCCAAGTTTGGACTTCAAGGAAAAAGGCTGTGTGAAAAAAACAAAACAAAAATAACTGTATGTATGCATATGTATATCATGTTTTCATTCCCATTTAGCCACATATCTCTTATACTTGTATTTGACGCTGATATTCCTCCTCCTCTCTTAGCCTTTGTCATCAGGAAAGAACCAAACCCTGTTTTTAGGGTACCCTGCAGGGATCATCCGAAGAAAAAAATGCTGAAATAGGTCTTCCCAAAATTACCTATGCTGAAAAGCAGTCTCAAGGTGCAATGACTCAATGCCTGGGTATGTTATATATTTATTTTAAAAGTTTATTGAATAGTCATTGAATTAAGCAATTTAACAGGACGGAATGAAAGGTGGTTACTGAATAAAGATGCAAACAAATCCAAAATCCATCGCTAGCATGAATAGGCTGTTCATGCCAGGCACATGCTATGCACTTGACATTTAATCCTTGGAGCAGCTTAATACTGTAGGTAATACTGTATTATTCCTGTTTTACAAGTGAAAACACAGACTGCCTAGAGTGCTATAAAGGCACTCAGCGAATAGGATATTGAATAGGAGTTTGAATCCAGGGTTGTCTGAACCAAGAATTTAGCTTCATCTCAAGATAGAAAGGTGGCTGGCCAAAATGGATAGTGAACATGTATAGGAGAAGATGCTGTCATTTTAATAGAACGGTAAGATAGTACAGTTCCTGAAATGTATATAACCTTTAAAGTTGACTTTATTCTTTGGATATATTCCTATATAGATAGGTTTGAGCCTGTCTCAGTATGGCACAAAATATTGAGCTGAGGAACACCAATAAATTTTTATGAATAAAGAAATAATATGGTCTACAAAATAGCAAATTGTTGAAAATCTGAGAATCGGGATAAGTTTTGGGAGAAAAAAACATTGCTCCTATATTTGGTTTTTATAAGAAGCATTCAAACTGACCTGTTCACAACACAAGCTAAATTATTTTCCTTTTTGTAATAAAGAAAAGAGGGGAAGGGGCAGAGGGAAATAAAAAGCAAAACCCTTCAGCCGAAACCGGTTTGGCTCAATGGATAGAGCGTTGGCTTGGGGACTGAAGGGTCCCGGGTTCGATTCAGGTCAAGGGCATGTACCTTGGTTGTGGGCATATCCCCAATAGGGGGTGTGCAAGAGGCGGCTGATTGATGACTCTCTCTCATCGATGTTTCTAACTATCTCTCTCCCTTTCTCTCTGTACAAAATCAATTACATATATTAAAAAAAAAAAAAGCAAAACCCTTCAAATGAGGGGAAAAAAAAGGCTTTCTTGCAAGAGGAAGATTATTAAGATATTTTATTTTAAAATATTTTATTCCAAGAGCCATTAACCTGTGTGTAACACCTATTAGGAGTTTGAAAAAATAGAAATTAGGCCCCACCGGTGTGGCTCAGTTGGTTGGGCATGTTCCCACATACCAAAACGTTTGCCTGTTTGCTTCAGGTCAGGGCCCAAGCCTGGGTTTCGGGATTCATCCCTTATAGGAGGCATGCAGTAGGCTGCTGATCAATGTTTCTCTCACATTGATATTTCGCTCTCACTTTCATTTTTTCTCTCTCTCAAAATCAATTTTAAAATATTTAAAAAGAAAAAAAAGATTATAATTTTTTAGCAGAATGATTTTTTAAAAAAACATGGTAGGTACTCAAAAAATATTGGCTGTATATAATAATCAGTTAATTAAGATATTGAGAGAAAAAGATCATAAAATTTCCTGACTCTCTAATGTTCTCCTCTCCACCAGTGGTGATTTACTAGTTACTAGGAAAAAGTAGTAGAAACTCTGTTGATTAAAGATTGGCTTTGTGGTGGGTATTTACATTTGTTACAAGGGGTCCAGTGGAATGGCAGGTTGTCCATGTGTTCACAGTATACCCATAAAATGCAGCTGCCTGGATCACAGGCATTAGGGGAAGTGGCCTACAAAGCTGGTTTATATAACTTAGGACTCAGGTTTCCTTTTTATTTTTCCAAAGATCGAGGTGAAAACCTGAGCTATGAGTCTAACAACCTGCCAAGGAGGCTCCAAGTGGCTTCCAAAACCATGACTAAAGGTGAACAGATAGACATGTGATAGAGCACTGTCTGGTCAACATTGCACTGACATTCCTTAGGCTCCCAGAGAGTTTAAGATGAAGCTTTACATGACTTTTCATCGTTATTAATGCTGTCCTAAAATTTAGAAAAATATTTGAGGAGGAAGATAGTAAGTTCATGCTTGTTCTACATAAGCCACATTGAGTGCTTTTCTTCCTCTTTAAAACATTGCTCCACTGACCACACTTCCATTTGTTTCTGGGTATCAAGTTGTTTCATTAGTGTAGAGCAGTGGTTGGCAAACTCATTAGTCAACAGAGCTAAATATCAACAGTACAACGATTGAAATTTCTTTTGAAAGCCAAATTTTTTTTAACTTAAACTTCTTCTAACGCAACTTCTTCAAAATAGACTTGCCCAGGCCGTGCTATTTTATGGAAGAGCCACACTCAAGGGGTCAAAGAGCAGCATGTGGCTCGCGAGCAGCAGTTTGCCGACCACTGATGTAGAGTACCCACAAGCAGAGCGGAAACAATGTCTAAGAAAAGAATGGCTATTGAGTGATAGGATATGAAGTTGAGAAGGAAATAATGCACATTTTCCAGAGTGGAACACGATAACAAGAAACTTCTCCACAGAAAGAAATCCTTACATTTCAATTCAGTGGTGGTTGTTTTTTGTTGTTTGTTTGTTTCTGATGGTTTCCCAGGTGTGCTGAGGACCACCTGAATGAGGAATTCTGTCAGACTGCCATTAACAGAGACCCAGAATAGTAGTGGATTAAATGAGATAAAGATTTATTTTATTGCACATTTAAAAATGATTTAAAATAATAATAATTTTTAAAAAATTAAAAATGGGGTGGGGAGAGTAATTGGGAAGTAGGCAGTGCAGAACTTATATGATTGCCACTAAGTTATCAGGATATATTCGATTCTTCTTTTCCACGTAATATTGCTTAACGGTAAATCCAGGCGAGGATGTGAAGTAGAAACTTTCCTGCATTGCTGATGGAAATGGAAAAGATGGAAAATGGTCTGGAAGTTCCTCAAACTCGATCCCCAGTAGGGGCCATGCAGGTGGCAGCCTGCTGATGTTTCTCTCGTATCAATGTTTGTATCTCTCTCCCTGTCCTTAACTATCTTTAAAAATCAATAAAAACATATTTTTAAAAAAGAAAGGTAATTTAATAGAGAAATGATAGGTTTTCCAACAAATGGTGCTGGAACAACTGGACCTCCACATGCCCCAAAATACATCTAAACCTTATAACTTTTATAAAAATTAACACAAATTGGATTGTAGACCTAAGTGTAAAACACAACCTATAAAACTTAGAAGATAACATAGGAGAAAAATTAGGTAATCCTGGGTGATGATTCTTTTGATACTGTATCAAAGGCACAACCTATGAAAATAAAGGATAATGGAGCATTATTAAAAATATGTATTTTTTTGTTGTTGTTGCTGTTCTGCAAAAGACACTGTCAAGATAAGCCACAGACTAGGAGAAAATGTTTTCAGAAAACATCTGATAAAATACACAGAACATTTAAAATATACCAAATAAATCTTACATCTCAACAATCAGAAAATGAACAACCCAATTAATAAAAAGGTAAAAACACACACACTTAAATAATAAAGCTATTATTCTCTCATATACCAAGAAGTTTAGACAAAGACAAAGATACTTCTAGGGATAGTTTATTAGCTCAACTACATGATAATGCCTTCATCAGCTTTTTTCAATTCTTTGGGTCTTTTCCTTGATGACAAGATGGCAATAGCAGCGCTGTCCAGTCAATTTTTAAGGCCTGTGAGCATCCCAGTCAGGGAATAAGGAGGCAACTGCTTTCTTCTTGGGAGAGCCTGATTTTAGCCTCCAACAGAAGCTTCACTTGACTTCTCCTTAGATCTGATTGGCCAAATCTCTGATGGCTTATTAATGTAAAATTACCTTAATTAATTCCCTAGCTGTCCTTAAATCAATGGATCTGTGCCAGTTTCCTGAGGTCCTGTTTGCAGAGAAAGGAGAGCCCATTGTAACACAAGCAAGGATCTGTGCCTACCACATATATATTTCCATTACTCTCCTGCTACAGCCATCACCACCACCACCACCCTAATTCTAAGAGCCAGCATTAGTCAGCTGCCTTCAGTACCTAGGCATGCTATGCTCTCTGTGGTTTATGGGTCATTGCACATAACTTTTGCCCTGCCCAGAGCACATACTCTTTCCTTCATGTTCTATAATAGCATCTTGGTCTGTGTGGCTTCAACTCCTGTCTCCCTTTAGTCCTCAGCTTAGGTATCACTTCCTTTGGAGAGTCTTCGCTGATCCCCAATATCACAGCACCTTCTTGTTAGTCCCCTCTTAGAACTTATCAAGCTATGTTGTAATTTTCTATCTATTTATTTATATCCCCTACTAGACTGCAAACTCTAATGGCTTATTGATTGGGCCTTATTTCTCTAGGGGCTCACATAGAGCCTACACAGTAGATAATCAATAAATACTTGTAGAAGGGAAGCACTTTTTGGGTGCACTCAGAATCAATTTGTGTTAAAATAACTTTTAAAAGTCTCATATTGAGGCAGTATTTATTCTGCTTGTCTCACACAAGAGCTATGGATTCTAAGAGCATTTCAACTGTCTTTAAATAGTTTTTCAAATGGGAAGAGTTCTGTTTATAGATTCATAATATAGAGAGTAAATGTAGCTAAGTGATGAACATATTTGAATATTGGAAGATTCTATCTTTCTCTGCAACTTCTTGCTACCATTTTATTAGGAAAAAGCAATAATGACACATTTCAAGGCCCTTTCAATCGCTTTTGTAAGTAGGTTTAAATAAGAAATGGAGGAAGGAATGAAATGAAGGGGGAGAGAAATAATCACCAAATTTGATGAATATAATAGAGCAGCACTTAGAAATCTTAGTACTTTGAAGTGAAAAATACTAATTTTATAATTTACATAAGGTAGTGAAACATTCACCCATGAAGTTTTAAGAGGGAATGTACCAGGCTCAGAGAGTTGGCGTTTCTTTGGATTTTAGACATAGTATTGCCACTTTCAGGTTGTCATACGCTGACCTTTTTCTGGGCGACCACTCAAAAGCCGCCAGTGTGTGGAGTGGAGCCCAGCGTGAGAGAGGGCTCTGCAGCTGGCCTGGTGCAAGGTGAGCCCTGGCCCTTGTGAGTTGTGGATCCGGTGCTGCTGGAATCACCTGCAACCCATCCGAGGACCATCTGGAGCCCGTGACAACCCCCAACAAGACCATCACAGAGGAAACCCTTGGTGTTTGAGAGAATGCAAAGGCCCCTTTAGCAGATGACCCTTCCTTTTGACCCCTGGCTTGCGGCGAGGCTCATGTAGAAACTGAATCATCCACCATCGGCATAAGATGGCCATATTACTTGGATGCCTGACATGAAATGGCATTGTCTTAGACTTTAGCCATAGCCAGGCTTTCACAGCCGTGATCCATATCAAGTGCATTGAGAAGAAAGAGGAGCTTCTGGAGGCTGATCCTAGGAGAAGCCTGAAGACACAAGTGCCTGGATGAGCAGGCACTTGCACTGCTATATTACTTTCCTATGCCTCACGGCGAGTTTCCCATGACACGTGGATCTGGGGTGGAGTAACTTCAAGCTGCTATACAGATGGTTTCGCATGCTTGTGCGGGCACCAGACAGATGAGAGGAAGTCCTGCTGCTTTTCAAGGTGGTCCTGAGCGACCACTGAGAAGGAAAATGCTTACAACGTTACATTTTGTGCCGAAATTTTATTGTCCGCTTTGTCTGGAAGGAAACATTTTATTGTCTACTTTGCTTGAGGTCAGGATCTATGGCAACTCTTGAGATAATTTTTTGGCATAGAGGTGCTTTTCAAATCTGTAACTGAGTTAAGGCCATTGGAATCCAGCACTAAGATTGGGGCTGAAGACCCCTGTGGTGCCAGACTTTGACCCTTTCATGGCTGGATTGTGAGGAGGTCAGAGAGATCTCTGAGGGAAGGGCCAGAGTGACTTGGGCAATGGTGTATATACTGGGGCAAAGAGCTTGGTTGGGACAGTGGAAGTGTTTTAGAAATGGTTAAGCCTGAAGGAGTACATACTAGATAATGTTTCATTCTGGCCTGGCTAGATGGTGAGGGATCTGAAAGGATCAAGACTGGAGAATTGATGACAAGATGGTTTCAGGGAAGGGTGGATGGACATTTCAGAATGAGCCCAGAATGTGAGAACGTCAGTGTTTTATGTGAATGCACATTAAGGGGCCATCATTGCAGAAGACGTTTTAGTAACTAGGGAACAAATGATTTCTTCTCAAGGAGCCAGTCATTTTTCTTCTCCAGCTAGTCTGTTGGTTCATGGACATAACAACTATGAGGATCAGAATGGTGGTGATGCTTGGACCCAGCAGCATAAATTTTTTTCATCAAGACTGATAGCAACAGTGACCTGCAGGGTCCTTCTAGGGGACCTGTTCTACTACTCTGTATCAGATTGATTAATTTGAGTTGGGAATGCCCCTTCCTCATGGAGGAGCAGCAGATTATCATCATTGGAATAATTTTGTGGATTTGGATTTGCTTTTCTCTGCTTACATGCCTCTAAAGCACCTCATGATTCCATACACAGCTTCTGGTTGATGAACTCACTGCATTGCAACCCAATAGGCTACTAACTGCCTGGCCTTACTTTGTAAAATATCCAATCAACTTGCTAAACTAGGCTCCATTGGAATGTCCACTTGGAAACTTAAGCACAACACTATCTTAAGATGTAACACCTTGTGGTGTCAGCTTGCTATGTTGTAGAACATGAGCAGAAACAGTGACCCACACATTTAATATTGTTCAACAGCCAGAATGGACTGCAACCTAGGACCTAGGGGTGAAGGCATGTCTTAGAATGACAGCTACTTGTTCACTTTCAGAATTTTGCTTTAACTCTTTAAATTATTTAACTCCTTTAGCCTAAATAATTCAGTTCTCAGAAGAGAATGCCTGAAGGTTAAAAAGTGTAGACTTTATTAAATTGATAGTTGAGACTATCACCTGTACTTGTTCGGTTCTTTGTGCAATCAGGGCCAAGACCCTTGGCAAGCTGTGGTGTTGGCTGAAAGCCAGGAGAACTTGGAACAAACAGAGAAGGAATCTATCATCTATGTCAGCAGCAGTCTTGTGAATGCTTGCAAAACAGAGGGCTGTAGCTTTGCACCAATATTTCCTTGCTGAACATACTATTAATTCTCATTTCCTTTTTAAAGGAGAGGTATAACAATTAAATTTTTTTTTTCTTTCCTCTTTCTTCCAAGGAAATGTACTGTTCCCGAAGGAATGGTTGAATCCATCATGTTGTCCAAAGGCTGTAGAATATTGAGATGGGATTGTGACAGAACTGAAGAGGATCATAATAAACTAGAGGTCCTGGACTTGAAGACCAATATCTCACCTCTTTGTGGGGTGGCTGGAAATGACCGGTTGTTATGAATATTTCCTTTGGATATCAGGGAGAAAAGGTGTGTGTGTGTGTGTGTGTGTGTGTGTGTGTGTGTGTGTTAAAAGTCTTCATTATATATGAGAAATTTTAGGCCTCAAGAAACTATAGATGGAAGTCCACTTACTTTTCATGTGGGAGACTGCTGGCCTACTGTGTCCCAGAAAATTCATACAACCTTTAATTGGCTTGTTTTGTGCAGTGTTTCTTAGATAATAAAAAATGTTGTTCTTCCCTTCTTTCTTCCATCCATCCTTCTGTCCCTCCCTCCCCTCAGCTACTTATTTATTAAATATTCATTGATAATCCAGAAGACTGTGAAAGTTGGAGGCCTGGAAAAGACAACCTGAGACCTTCATTCTTCTTACTATCCAATAAATGCAGAGACATTTATTGCAACTCTGCAACTGTTGTGATCTGGTACAGTCCTGGTCAGATGTTTAGCCCAAGATTATAAAAAAATAAAACAGAACCAAAAGAAAGAATGCATTTTACTTTAATACCAGTTCTGCAGTTAATAAGAAGCATTTTAAACCTTGGATGTTTAAAGTACTAGTTATTTGAAAGCATTTGTAAGTGATGTTAGAATTCAAATATGAAATGAGTCTCTGCTGTCTGGCACAACTGTCATGTGTTCAGAGTCACACTTGTGGGTGAAGATAAGGTTTCACTTTGTCCCTTTCCACACAATTTTGAGTTTGCATTGTAAAGACCCGATTAAGTATGTCAGAAAAGTAGGCACCTACTAGGGAAGTGAAAAGTATTAACTATTTCAGGCCACTAATAAAATATGACATTTGCTGCAGAGGTAAATTAGCAAATTACGCTCATGGTGCCATAGAGAAATTAATGTCCCTTTAAAAAATTTGAATTATTTGCCTCACCCTCTTCTTCCCCAGTTTTTAAAGTTATGAGTTCTAGTGAGCTTGGAAGAGCTTTATGATGTTTACTTTTCTCTCCATTATCAAAAAGGAAAGGAATTTAGTAAGGACCATAATATCATTCTTTGATCTTTGTTGATGCTGTGTCATCTTACAGATTGTTTGAAAAGACTTGGAACAACTTGAAGCACTTTGATGGAGAGATATGTAATTTTTTAAATGTTATTTTTTTCTTTGACCTTTCATCTTCCATATACTAATTATTGTAAATACAATTTAAAAATCATAAGTTGAAATTCTTTATTTAGATTTAGCTCTCCATAAGGAATTCAACAAAAAGCAAATGCCAACTCTACATAAACCTTTCTAATGAATAGGCCAGACTATGGTGTGTGTATTTTCTATAAAATAAATGTCTCTTTCAGCTGTTAACCCACATTACTCCAGGATATTTCTTAATGGTTATTTTAGACATTTTCTCTTTCTGTAAATTTATTAGTATGAAACTAATTCCTTCCTGACTTCCTGTTATGTTTCCCTACTATTGCATTATTGGTATTTATTGTGTTGGTATGCTCTGTCTTTATAAATTAATTTTGCCTTTTTATTTTTAATTTTTTTCAATGCTCTTCATTTTTTTCAACTTATACTAGCACTATTATTATTATTATTCACACTAAATGAGATTTATTGTTTGTAAAACTTAATTGAAATTTCTTCCTCAATACATTAAAACTAATTATTGTTGGATTTTAATATTTCCTATTAGTTCAAATCAATAATGGGGAATAAAACATTCATACATTGATCTAAATGTTTTTCCTCTACCTTTGCAGCAACGTCTTGAACATTATTTATTTTATCATCTTTTGAATCCCTTGAATGCAAAAACATATTCTTCTATCTCTTCTATATAAAGTTAGTTATCCTATAGTTCTTCATATACAGGTACATATTTATCCTACACTGTGTTATTTGTTTTCTCTGTGACCATTCATTCAGCCAGACATTTATTGAGTACCTTTCATGGGTCAAACTCTATATTATTGTAGGTTATGTTTATTATTGTTTCTAATTGCAATTTTTAAAATTGTATTTCTAAAGCTGCTCACAAAAAGCATGTTTAAAACAAACACTTTTATTCTGATTTGAAACTTTTCTTGAACTTTATTTTCTTGCATAGTTAATTGAACTGTAGTATGTTTTTACATTTGAGAGACATGACTACTAAATAACAGTAAGTTTTCTAATAACTAAAGCTATCCATTAAAATCTTCTACGTACTCATATAGTCTTTGTGCATGTATAAAGTTTCACTGAGGTCTGTAAAAAAAGGATAGAAAACTTGATGAACTTTACTGGCAATAATTTTACTTAAAATGGGAAGTTAAACATGTGACTATAAGTTATAACTTAATATCATTTATTATGTACCAACTTGGTCAAATCAGTCATTTCGTTTAGCATAAAAAAAGTTAGCCACATGAAAAATTCTTGGCAGTCATATTAAAATTATTCCATTTACTGAATATTGACCTTCAAATAAAGGTTTGTGCGTTTTTTTTTTGTTTTGTTTTGTTTTTTTTAATATATCTTTGTTGATTTCACAGAGGAAGGGAGAGGGAGAGAGAGATAGAAACGTCATTGATGAGAGAGAATCATTGATTGGCTGTCTCTGCACTCCCCACACTGGGGATGGAGCCCACAACTGGGGCATGTTCTCTGACCTGAATAGAACAATGACCTCCTCCTGATTCATAGGTTGATGCTCAACCACTGAGTCAGGCTGGCAGGGCTAAAGTTTTGTTTTTAATTCTTTATAGATTACTCTGTGAGAAAAGAATCAGGAGAAATAGGAAATAAATTGAAAATGGACACCTTGCTCAGATGAATTAATTAATTGGAAGCTATTACTATTTGCCTGTTCTGCTCAGTTGGATTTGGCAGAACAGGAAGTATGGTATGGAGCAACTAAATGCAGTGGGCATTCCAGAACAGGTCATTTTGGCCTCTGCTGCCCTCAATGCTCACATTTTGCCTAATTGGATCCAAGTCTGGTCAGTATTTTATGACTTGTGATATTGTGATTTATGAGAAACATATATTTGGTTTTGTCCCTTTTTTGAACAGTGGTATTAAAACTCTTGGAATTTTCTAATGGAGAGAGCTGTAAAGCTGACTATTGTTATGCTAATAAGGTGATTCTCCGTCCTAATCCCCAACCTCCAGGAAGGGGAGAGGGGCTGGAGGTTAGATACATCAATCTTGCAGATGTGATAAGGAAGTCTCTGTAAAAAAAATGAAATGACAATTTTCAAAGAGCTTCTGGTCTAGTGACCATATAGAGATTTTGGGAGAGTGGACCACTTGGAATGGACCCTATGCTTCTCTTCCATGTGGCTATTCCTGAGCTATATCCTTTTATAATAAACCAGTCATCCAATAAGTAACATGTTTCTCTGAGTTCTATGAGCTCCTCTAGCCAATTAATCAAACCCAAGGAGAAGGTTATGGGAACCTCAGAAGCATCTGAATTTGCAACTTGCATCTGAATTGAAGAGGAGGGTGTCTTGTAGGACTGAGCTCCTTCAACTGTGGAATTTGATGCTATCTTTGGATAAATAATATCAGCATTGAGTTAAATTGTAGAACACCCGCTGATATCCTGAGCATCACTTGGTGATATAGGAGAACCCACTCCCCATTCCCAATACACATATGTCAGAATTGGGCTGTTGTAAGAAACATCTAAACCAGTAGAGAATGTTTATGAGTTTATTCAAGCCAAACTAACCTCAATTGCCAGCAAGCAAAATCTCAACGGATTGAGAAAATGCTCTGGAACATAGCATTTTTACCACTTATTTTATACATCAGAGAGATGTATGGAGGGTTACATGAAATTCATTGATGGTAGATTAGGAAGGATAGAGAATGCAAAGCAGGGAGACCTCTGAGATTAGATAAAAAGCAAAATGATGAAACAAATACTTCTTTCACATTGGTGGGTACATAATATTTAACAATTAACATGATAACAATAACAATGAAGGATTCTGTGGTCTTGTGCTCTGGTGCAGTGATTGTGTCTTGAGGCATTTGGGAAAGGGAAATTATCCTGACAGTCTAAAGTAGGGGTGTCGAACTCAATCAGAGAAGGGGCCAAAATCTAAAATCCAGCCTAAATCGCGGGCCGAATGGTTTACTGAACAGTCATAAACTGTCATGGAAACGCAGCGGAGTGCAGTGATGACAGTGCGGTGCGGGCCACATTGCAAGGCCTGGCGGGACAGATTTGGCCCGCGGGCCTTGTGTTTGACACATGTGGTCTAAAGCTATGTTATCCCTAGAGGCCTGGTGCACAAAAATTCATGCACTGGAGGGGGGTCCCTCAACCCGGCCTGCCCCCTCTCACAGTCCTGGGGGCCCTCAGGGGCAGGAGGTGACCTGGCAATTAAGGGAAAGCGATACCCTCATCACATCTCTGCTGCTTCCACTGCTGGCAGTGCAAGCCTCAACTGGCCCTAGTTACCTGAACCTCAGGCAGCCCTGGGTGGCTGGGCAGCCAACATCTGAGGCTTGCCTGTGCCTCAGGCTGGCCCTGGACAGCTGGGGGGCTGTGGGGACCAGGTGCTGCCATCTTGTGACTGTGGGAACTGCCATCTTTGAGGGTGTGACAGTCAATTAGCATATTCCCTCTTTATTGGCTGTGGGCACTGCCATCTTTGCGATGGTGTGAGGGTCAATTAGCATAATTCCCTCTTTATTAGATAGGATAGATGCAAAAAGACCATGGACTCAGTTAAGGTAAAGATTGACCTTTGTCCTTTGTGGAGAAAGATACTGGCCTAAGACATGACTACCCACCATGACTAGCTTGTAGTTAGGAAATTTTAATTTCAAACCATCATATGTGGTTACTTGAGGTCTCTGAGTTTGTAAGGCTTGCCATGCAGGCCTCCCCTCAGCTTGTCAAGTTTAGTATGTGGCCCTTTCTCATCCACAGGGCTCAGAACCATTTTTGACTCATATGTTTTAAAGCCTCATTATAGGTACTCCTAAGAAGTTAGTATTTGAAGGAGGGAGATATCCTCCTTAGTGGCCCAAAGAGGAACTAATATGATGCAATGTGAACTAAATCAGAAAAAATTGATCAATTAATGGTGGAGGCTGGAGTTGAAAGGTCAGATGGACTCAAGATCTGAAGTTTCCATTTAGATTATTGCAAGTTGGTGTTATACTGCCCAGCAGAGGAAGCCAACTGAGGTGAGGTGGGGATTAGGATTAGGGGCCTGGGTAAAAGAAGAATGGAGCTGATAAGCAAGAGAGAAGAGAGAGAGAGAAAGGGAGGGAAAGAGAGAGAGAGAGAGAGAGAGAGAGAGAGAGAGAGAGAGAGAGAGAGAGAGAGAGAAAGAGAGAGAGAGAGGAGAAGAGAGAACTGTAGCTTATCACAGCTAACTTGATTTTGGCCCTTCCTGAGGTTTGTTTTATAGCTTTTCTCCCTTTTCCTCTGCTCTAATTTTAGTGACTCTATTCCATGAATTCAGGAGACCCTAAGTAGAATTTCTAAATAGAACCTTGATCATTACTTCTCTCTCATCATTGATGTTTCTATCTTTCTTTCCCTCTCCTTCTCCCTTCTCTGAAATCATATATGATAATTGTAATCATATATAAAAATTTTATATATAAAATATATAAAATAAATAAAATATATGTATGTATACATATATAAATATATATATTTTAAAAATATAGACTACAAAGGCAACAAACAAGATGCTGAAGTGGAGAACAGTGGGGGAACCTACCTAAACAGGGAGGTCAGGGAGGCCTTTCTGAGAACAGAAAGGCAGAGATGCTTTTATTTCATTATTTCAAATATAATTTAAATGTAAATGGCATTTAAAAATTATTTTGGTCATTTATATGTTGGATCTTCTGTTTTAATAATGTGAAAAAATTATCATTAGCTTTTATTGAACCTTTATAATAATAGCCTATGTTATTAGTTGATTTTGTATTACAGAAACACACACTAAAAGGTCACACTTGACTCCAAAATCCTGAGATACATAAATATCTAAACAAAATTCTAGTTCAGTTTAGCTTCTTCCACTGAACAAATATTTACAGAATACCTGCCCTGAGCCTGGTAGAATGCTGGGGACACCAGATGATTCACCTGCATCCTGAGCCAGGACATAGTCTTATTTGTGCTAGATTTAAGGTTTGCAGCGCTTTGAGACACCTTTTGAAACTGTATCCGGCTCAACGGGATGAAATAAAATT